CTCCCAAGGGTTGTCACCTGGATTGAATGACATTGCCCCCTGCACAGGCTCAGCACACCGGAGGTCCTCAGTACCTGGCTGGTGTGAGACAGAGGATGCTGGGGGAAAGGTCGCTGGCTACTGCATAAGATGTGCTGCGGTGCAGAGCCTGCATCTGGACATGTGCTGCTGGCCCTAGATGTTGCAGGTGCAGCATGGACCTCTCAAGCCCATGGTTAGAAATTGACTAACGGAAATGCTCCTCGTGAGTAGTCGTCCTAGGATGATGAGGACTGCCTCACGATCCAAGCTGCCGAATGCGAGGTCTGGCAGCGTGTGGTGGTGATTGGTAATGGGCCATCATCACTGGGTCAGGGCTTCTACCATGTCGGGGATTGGCCAGCAGGAACGGCGGGCCTGATTCGAGCTGGGGCTTTCGAAGAGCAAGGCTGAGGCACAGATGGGAAGCAGCGTCCAAGACCATGTGGCCAGGCAGCAGCAGAACTGGGAAAGAATCCTTATTTCTTGATTCTTTGGTCATCATGGCCAAATGGCCATTATAGGGCCATTCTATAAAAATCAATTTGGGAGGTAGACTTGATAAAAGAAACTAGACAAGTTGTTGGTATGTGGCAGCTTGGGGTGAGTGGGTTTCACTTTTCAGAAGAGGTGGAGCCCAATTACTTCACCAGGTGATTCTGAGATGCTCCTTAAATCTGCACCAAAAAAAGAGGGGGGAAGATGGGGTGCAGCTGTATTGACCCAGTGTTTCTCAAATATACTTTGAGGAAATTATTGATAATACCCAAAAGTTCTTGCTTTCGTGTATCTTATTTCAATTTATCATTTGAAAAAAAAAAAGATGTTTGCAAATATTTGTTTGAAAGGCAGAGTTGGAAAGAAAAAGAGATTCCATCCACGGATTCACTCCCCAAATGGCCGAAATGGCCGAAGCTAGGAGCTTCTTCCGGTTCTCCCATATGGGTGTAGAGGCCCAAGGACTTCGGCCATTTTCCAGGGCTTTCCCAGGGAGCTAAATCAGAAGTGGAGCAGCTGGGACTTGAACCGGTACCCATATGGGATGCCAGCACTGCAGGCAACAGGACAGCACCAGCCCCGATTAACCATCTTTTTAAAAAAGATTTATTTATTTATTTGAAAGTCAGAGTTACAGAGAGAAGGAGAGGCAGAGAGAGAGAGAGAGAGAGAGAGAGAGGTCTTCCATCCTCTGGTTCACTCTCCAGATGGCTGCAATGGCTGGAGCTGGGCTGATCAGGAGCCAGGAGCTTCTTTCTGGTCTCCCACATGGGTGCAAGGGCCCAAGGACATGGGCCGTTTTATGCTTTTCCAGGCCATAGCAGAGAGCTGGATCAGAAGTGGAGCAGCTGGGACTCAAACAGGCACCCATATGGGATGCCAGCACGGCAGGCAGTGGCTTTACCCACTACGCCACAGCGCCAGCCTCACAAGTAACATCTTAATATCATGAGCATATCTGTCTTCACAGACCCTTTGAAAGAATCTTATGGAGCCCCTGTGTCTTCAGACCACATTGGAAAGGCTGGTCCAATCCCAAAGATGGAGCAGAAAAACCCTACTGAGTGGTTGAAGGTCAGGTTAACTGTGAGTTAGACCCCAAATTTGGCTGACACCCTACAGAAAGAAATGTAAGAGGGTTCAGCGCAGTTACCTCTGATACCTCTGAGTCCTTCCAGCCAACCCTAAATTCTGTGTGTGGCTTCCCTTTAATCCAACAGACACTGAGTGCCCACCATGGGGCAAGGTCCCCAGAGGATGTGAAGATGGGTAGGACGTGGTCCATGCAGCCATGGAACTCAGATTCAGTTGATCTTGGGGGCCAGGAAAGGGCAGGGCGAGGTCCGTCCCTCTTGGCTCAGCATGCCGAGGGGCCCCATCCCCCCTTGCTCTGTTGAGGCTTCTCTTTGGACGTGTTGGTTTCCTGTAATCCCTACCAGAATGCCAGCTCCTGGGAATGAGGGATTTCAAAGTTTTGCTTAACTCAGATCAGTGCGGGGCACACAGTAGGCCCAGAGATGAGTCGGAGGAAGGCAAGGCTCTTCTTCCCCTACTCTGCCGTGGGCAAACGTGCAAATACTGAATCTGTGAATGAGCCCAGTTACCAGGTAAATGATGTGGTTTTCTTGTTTCAAGTGGCTTTGTCTGGGTGGTGGTGTTTGACATCTGTTCCTTCCTGCTGTTCCCTCGCACCTGCACCCTGCACCCTCCTCCATTTCTTCATCAGACGAACACTACTGACTGCCCCACTGCTCAGATCCTTTCAGGGCCTCCTCAGGTGCGAACGCTCGTCCCAGAGCTGGCCACTGAGGACGGCGGTACCAAGGTCCAACCACGAACTCACTGAGGCTTAACTCGGGTCACGAAAGTTTAGTGTGTGTGTGTGTGTGTGTGTGGTGTGTGTGGTGTGTGTGTGGTTGTGTGTGGTGTGTATGTGTGGTTGTGTGTATATAATGGGAATTAAAGATGTTTATTTTGTTGCAAGAAAGTTTGAAATTCATGTGGAGCTTTTGTATAATATACATTTCCACAATTTTTCAAAACCCCATGTCTCAAAAAAAACCCTGTATCTCCATGGATTTCGAAGTTTGTTTGTTTGTTTTTTTTTTTTTTTTTTGCCTCAAGCTAATTTCGTTTTCCGAACTTTCTGGAGTGTCCTTGTGTGTGCATATAATACTTACATTTTCTGTATCTATGGAGGGAGACACTTTAACAGGGCTCCTCACTGAACTGTAGTTTAAATAAATGTGCAACAATGTTTCTAGAGACAATTGCGCTCATTTTGGGAAGCCAAGCACACAGCCTGGCCTCCAGGGAGTTCCCCCGCCACACTGAAATGGATGACTCCCACAGCTGTGACAGGGGCTGTCTAAACACCCCTGACATTCAAAGCTCTCCCGTCTCTCGGTGCCTCTGAGGCCTACACTGCTTATTTGACAGCTCTTGCATCTACTGTATTATCATGTATTTTTAATTCTTCACGAGGATGTCTGCCGGGACTGTAAACTCTTAGAGGAAAAAGGCTCTGTTCTTACATCCTCTGCCATCTGTGGCCCACAGTGAAGAGTAAGCCCTCATTAAATAGTTAGAGGATAAATAAATGCAGGGACTAATGGCTGCTGCTGACATACCCAGGCCAAATCAGGAATCTCGTTTTCATCATGGTCAATTCTCCTTTACTTCCCACACTCCCCCTGCAGCCTGGGGACCAGGAGGCTGCCCTGGAAATGTGTGCTGGAGTTGCCAACAGGAAAGGCTTCAAGTGTGAATGAGTCAGCAGGAGGTGCCCGTGGTCAACACCACGAGTTACTATCCACCTCGACCGTGTCAGTATGTCCTAGGGGACTTACAGAGGCACACAGGTCCTCCTTCTGTGAGGACCCTGGGGCTCCGAACTGTGTGATGTGACGCAAAAGCACAGAGCTTCTAAGGGGTGGCATCAGGACCTCCAGGCTGCCCCTCAAGCCACAGGGGCCGGGCGTGCCTGCCTGTGGCTGCCCCGAGGCCTCTCTCCCCTAAAACTGCTTGGGTCAAAGAGGATGGCACGTTTTCCAGACTCGAGGGGCTGCTGCTGTCCGCCCTCAAATTCCAAGCCCCTGTTCATTTGACTTCAGCTCCTGGAAAAGTAACTCATGAGTCAGACACTCCCTGTGCTGCTCAAGGATCTTGCCTGAAACATTGTTTTTTATGAGCCACACGGCTGGCTGTCTCGCTGTCTCGGCAGCAGAGTGGTTAAATTCTAATGCAACCCTCAGATGAACTGCACGTTGCGGCTGTTAACTGATACAAGTGTCTATGAGCAAAGGGGCGGAGACGCTGCTTGGGTGGCCTGCATCCCATGTGGCAGTGTCTGGGTTCAAGCCCTGGCTCTGCTCCCAGTTCCAGCTTCCTACTAACGCACTCAAGAACTTGGGTCCGTGCCACCCACTTTTCGGCCTGGCGGAGCTCCGGCTGTTGTGGACAATTTGGGGGGTGGGCAGTGGATGCAAGATCTCCCCTCGTCTTTCAATTAAGTTTTTTAAAAAGTAATTTTTGAAAAGGAAGTATGATTAAAAAAAAAATGTGTCCAACAGGTGCTTGACAGGCAAGGGGCAGGGTTCTACGAAACAGGTGATAAGGAGCTCGGCGGCCTCCGCACTTCTCCGAAGATGGCAGCGGGAGCACCAGACTTTAATGGAGGGGACAAGGCAGGTGCGGGCTCGCTGTGACACTGGAGCAGCCTGGTGCTGACGACCAGGATGGCGGCGGGCGCACCGCCCTGGCCGCCGCGAGACGCGCGCTAGGAGCCATCTCCGCGCGCGGCTTCCGCCCCGGGCCACGCATCCCGCTGGCGCCGGCTCAAGCTGGGCGGGACTCCGAGTCTGAAGCCAACGCTCCCCGCCTTACAAAAAGGCAGCTGGGGCTCCGAGGGGTCGCAGGGCGAGGGCTGCCCCGCTAACGGCGGCTCCGGCCCGGGCGAGCATCAGCCGGCGGCCACCTGGCGCGCCGCACCGGGCGGGAGCGCGAGCCGGACCGCAGAAGGGGGCGGGGTGCCCGTCGTCCACCGCCGCCCGGCTGTCCTTCCACCCGCGAGCCCCGGGCTCGAGAGGCCGGCAGCTCGCGTGGGCCCCGCCCCCGGCCACCGCCTGCCTGTCATTTCCTCTCTGCAGCGCACGCAGGTGTGGAAGATGAGGGAGCGCGAACGCCCACGGCCGGTCTTCTCCGGCACCCAAGGCTTCTTTCAGTTAGGGCTCCACGCCCGCCGCTCCTCTTCGCAAGCCCCCAGCACCGCGGGGGGCGGCGGCCGTGGCGGCGCCGGCGTTCCACGAGAACACGCGAGGAACGCGGGTCCGCGCCCCCGGGGACTCTGCCAGGGCGCCTGCGCGGCGCGCGTGCGCGTGCGCGGCGAGGGCGCGGCTGGCCGGGGTTGCGGCTGCGCAGAGGCGGCGCTAGGCGCCGCGCCTGCGCAGTGGCGGGGCGGGGCGGGAAGGAGAGAGGCGGTGGCACCGGCGGCGGCTGCTGAGGAGGAGGAGGAGGAGGAGGGGGAGCGGAGGGAGGTGTTTCTGTCAGTTCCGGCTGTTTGTTCGGGAAGTGGATCCGCCGCTGCCGGAGCAGCCCGGAGGGAGCTGCGGTTTGCGAGGCCAGGACCGACCCCGCCCGCCCGCGCGCACCGCCCCCGCCCGCCATGGCCCGGGACTACGACCACCTCTTCAAGCTGCTCATCATCGGCGACAGCGGTGAGGGCCGCAGCGGCCGGAGGCGGCGCGGGCCCTGCCGGGCGCGGCCCGCGGGGGCCTCGGGGCGGGCGGGGAGGCGCCGGCCCGCGCGGGGCGGGGCTGGCCGGCGACCGTGGGTCCCGGGGTGGGGGGGCGCGCCGAGGGGCTCCGGGCCGCGCCGGGAGAGGTGGGGGCGCCGAGCGGCGGAGCGGAGGGGCCGAGCGCGCCGGGTCCACTCGCCGGCGCCCGCCCCTGCCTCACGTGTGACCTTGGTCGAGTCGCGCGATCTCCGGAGTTGTGGAGACCCTGGTTCGAGTCCTGGGACTCCCAGCCGCCTCGCTCCGTGACCTTGGGCAAGTTGCTTCACCCTCCCGAGCCGCGGTTCCCTCGTCGGACTTGCGCTGCTGGGTGGTGTGAGTCCTGGATGAGACAGAGGGAAGAGTGCCCTGCGCGGGAGCTGGCGGCAAGCGAGGGGTAAAGCTCCCGGCGACTTCGCCGTCGGGATTCTTAGCAGCAGCCTTTGGGAGACTCAGTTTGTTCCTCTGTAGAATGGGGCTGTTCCCGGGATCGCTGGGGGTGCAGATGAGGTAAGGCCGGAGGAGAGCCCTTTGCTCAGGGCCTGGCACAGTCCTGCCCGGTTGTCCTGTCTGCCCGGCTCGGTTTCCTCATCTGTAAGCTGGAATAATCGTAGAATCCGCCTCTTGTGGCCCATGCGCGTGTTCAGTGAGCTGTTGGGAGGGATGCCTGGTGCACAGCAGACATCAGCATTCGCAGGGCCGTTGGGGATGTGTGGGCCTCCGGCCACACACACACACACACACACCCTGCGGGCTCCTGTCTGGTCCGTGCATGGCACCCAGTGAGTGCTTGATGCGTCTTTGTTGAATGAATGAATGAATGAATGAATAGTATGTGTCCTTAGAAAAGACTGGTTCCCGGGGAGGGTTTTAGAAGTGTTTGGAGCGAGGCAGGCGGGCAGGTTTATGGGGTGACCACGAGGTCAGGGAAGCCGGCCCCGGGAGGTTTATGGGAGCGCAGCTGAGGTTCTGGATTACATGATGTCTGGGCAGGTGGCTTGGGAGTGCGCGGCATTTCCAGCGCTGATCACGTGACGGGAGGCAGAGGCCAGGCTGGTAGTGAGTCGGTGGGTTGTTAAGGAGAGAGGAGACCAAAGCAAACAGGTTGTGGGACCCAGGGTACAGGAGGGTTGGTGCAGTGTCACAGCGGGGTCAGAGGAGGGGATGGTTTTGTGAAGCTGCCCTGGGGTGTGGTTGGTGGTTTGGATCAGGGGAGGGGGGCTGAGGTTCTCAGGGTTGCTGATGGAGTGAGTTGCAAAGTTAGGGACTGGCCAGGGAGTTGGGAGAGTAACTGTGGCCGGGGAAGGAGCTCGAACTGGGGACTGGCGACGGTGACTTGGACGAAAGGAGAGCGGCGAGCTGTGCAGGCTGATCCTGGAGGTGGCCTTCGCCTCCTGGCGTACAGGTTTGCTTTTAGCCCTGGTCTTGGTTCCGAGGGTCTGGCACCAGACTGATTCATCTCCTTTTGGAGTTCAAGTCAGGGGTCTTTATCTCTCTCCATGATGTCTCAGGCTTGTGCTTTGATATCCAAAAATGAAAATGAAAAGCGTAAACTCAGCCAGAAGATGCAGCCTCTTGGCTGTCCTCCCCTGGAGGCCCTGGGGGACGGTTCGGGGCTGCTTGCGCACCGTGCATTTTGCTTGGTGTATTGATTTTTCACTCAGCAGTCAGGTGTGGGTGAAGACTCATTGGGTTGAGATTTATGTGGTCCGGCTGCTGGCTCAGTCTGGGCGTGCAGGCCTGGGTTGTGGAGAGGAGACAGATGCTTTGCTGTTTGCTTTCTCCTGACAGTGAGCTGACACTCAAGGCTGAGCACTTAGGAGACTGGAAGATGGGAGCCCTGGGAGTTGAGGCTGAGCTTTGGCCTCTGAGCACGGAGCCCGACATCCTGTGTTCCCCCGGACTGGGCTGCTGTGTGTCTGCCTCCTCTGACTCCCACCATCGCCGGAGTGGTGTGAGACGAGGAAACCAAGGCTCAGAGGAGGTGGCTGGCTTGCCCCGAATCGCACAGCTTGGCGGCGGCCAAGTGGGGAGTGCGTCTGTGCTGATGTATATGACAGCGGCTGGCGTCAGGGCTGGCACACAGTGGGCTCTCAATGAGTGTTACTTCTGCGTCCCACTCTGCACATCCTGCCTGCCTCCCGGGGTGTCCCTCAGCCCTGGTGGTCTCCTTTCTGCCGAGGTTCTACCCCTTCTCTTAGGCCCTGCTGACATCGGCTGGGGTTGGGAACAGCATTGGCTCTGCACCGGTGGGGGTGGCCATCCACATTTTTGGAATCTGGAGACTAGGGTGGCTGGTGGAATCTGGTTAAAGCCTTCACTCTGTGTTTCAGTAAGCTTTGGTTCAGAGGGGGCGTGGCTCCTCTGAGGTTACCCAGTGAGGTGGTGCCGAGGCGGGATTAGAGTTGGGAAGGATCTGAGGGCCTTCCACCGGCTGTAACCGAAGCCATGAGGAGTGGGCAAGGGGAGCTTGGGCATGACCGAGAGTGTTGTCTTCTGGCTGCCGAGAGGCATCGGGGCCACCAGGGCTGTGCTTCTAGCAGGGTAGAAGCTGATGGAGCTGGATTGGTTGGGTTTCCTACTGAGTGTGGCTGTGGGAAAGGTAGACTGGTACCCTGCGCTTCCTCCCTTAGACCAGTGCTGTGGGCTAAGTGATAGGGATAGTTAGGAGGTGGCATTGCTTGGTAGGGCGTAGTGTGTTCCTCTTGAAGGGAGAGCAAAATCAAAGTCTTATTTGTTTGAAAGGCAGAGAGTAGGGCTGGCCTGTGGCGTAGGGGTAATGCTGCCTTCTGCAGCTCTGGCATCCCATATGGGCGATGGTTCGAGTCGTGGCTGCTCCAGCTCCCTGCTAATGCGCCTGGAAAAGCAGCGGAGGATTGCCCAGGTGCTTGGGCCCCTGTACCCACTGGGGAGACATGGAAGAAGCTCCTGGCTCCTGGCTTCAGCCTAGCCCATTGCAGCCACTGGGGAGTGAATAAGTCTCTCTGATTCTGACTTAAAATAAATCTTTAAAAAAAGAGAGGGAGATATCTTCACCTGCTGGTTCACTCCCCAAATGCCCACAACAGCAGGGGTTGGGCCAACATGAAGCCAGGAGTCTGGAACGCCACCTGGGTCTCCCACGTGAGTGGCAGGGACCCACTGCCACTTTGACCTGCTGCTCAGCAGTACCAGCCCCAGCCTAGTGGTTTTCAGCTGCCCTACAGAGAAGCCTGGGCCTAAATGAAGGGGATGCTGTTGTGTTACTTCATGGAGCACCTCCCCCGCCCCCATTTTAAAGATTTATTTATTTATTTGAGAGAGAGAGAGAGAGAGAGGAGAGATCTTCTATTCACTGGTGCACTCCCTAAATGGCTGCAACAGCCTGAGATGAGCCAGACTGAAGCTAGGAGCCAAGAACTCCATCTGGGTATCCATGTGAGTGCAGGGTCCCAAGCACTTGGGCCATCCTCTGCTGCTTTCCCAGGCTTATTAGCAGGGAGCTAGATCAGAAGCAGAGCAGCTGGGACCTGAACCCATGCCCATATGGGATGCTGGTGCCGCAGGTGGACACTTAACCTTGTACGCCACAGTGCTGGCCCCAGCACGTCCCCCTTGTATTAGTTAGATATATGAGATTTGGGTACACTTTTATTTTATAAAGGGATTCTGTGCCCGCTGATCCCCAAAATTTGAACACCACTGCTTTACCTGCTATGCCGCAGCACTGGCCCCTGAACACCACTGCTTTAGTTTCTATCAGTGCTGCCCTAGTAGTGTTATAGCTGTCAGTGAGATTGGCGTCTGTGCAGTTGTGAACTCATTAGTCATTCATTGTTTAGTTTTAGATTCATTAAGCAGTGTTTTGTTGGCACCTAGTAAGTGCTGGACCAGGCTTCGAGCACTGAATGCATCGGGTGAGTGAGGCAAGGTCTCCGTGTTAGAGGAACGCCAAGCCTAGTGGCCCAGCTGTAAGCTTTTAGCTGAGTAAGCTGGACCCAGAAGGCTCTAGGAGGAAGCAGAGGAGCCGGCAGGGCCAACAGGGTGTTGGCTTGGGGCAGGGCACTGTGTAGGGCCCAGCCTAGGACTTGGGCTCTCCTTGGGTTTAGCAGGAAGCCTCATGGCGGAGCAATGAGGAAGTGGCCCTGAGCAAAAGCTCTGCAGGCCTTGGGGGCTGAGCACCAGGTGCTGTGGGCGCTGCTGTACCTATCTGCTTAGGAAAGCCTTGCCCCCAGCCTGCCTTTGGAAAGGTGGGGTCAGGTGTGTGCACTGAAGCATGTTCTCGCAGGCGTCCCCGAACAGCTCGCTCACCGGGAGACGTCCCCAGAGGAGACCCTGTGTGAGGATTTCCCAGAGAGGATGTCAGGGTTGCTTACTCTGCCGCAGTGGTTTGCAGCTGGCTACTTGGGGGATGGGGGCGGAGACCTCTTTGAGAATCGGATAGAAGCTTTGGGCTTCTCCCCCACCAATATGCACCTGCCTTCTAATTGTACATGGACTTGCAGGTTGTCAGGAACTCTGGGTTAGGAGCTCCCTGTAGCCTTGATGGTATTTTCATTAAGTCTAACAGCAGTGAGAAGTAGGAGCTCCAGGAGTCAATTTTTTTCCTCTTCCTGAAACAAGTACTGCTCCCCTGCAGTAGGTCAAGAGAGGAGGCACTTTAGGGCTCAGCCCTGGGTTCGAGTGTCAGCCCCACCACTTCCTGTAGAGGTCTTTAGGTCAGCTGCTCAGAGCCTCAGCTTTCTCTCTCTTTTAAATACATTTCTTCATTTGAAAAGAAGAGTTGGGGGTGGGAAGAGAGAAAAGAGAGAGAGAGAGAGGGGTCTTCTTTCTGCTAGTTCATGGGCCAGGCTGAAGCCAGGTGCTTAGAACTCCATCCCCATCTCCCACATGGGTGGCAGTGTCCCAAGCACTTGGGCCATCATCTGTTACTTTCCCAGGTGTGTTAGCAGGGAGCTGGATTGAAAGTGGAGCAGTGGGGACTGAAACCAGCGTTCATACGAGATGCTGGCATTGCACATGGTGGTTTAACCCACTGTACCACACCCTGCCCCCGCACCCGCCAGGCTTTCTCACCTTAAAGATGTAGTTGGATCCTGTAAAAAAAAAAAAAAGTATGGTTTTTCTGAATCAGTTAAAAATAAAAACTTTAGGAGTGAGTAGTTCGCCTGGTGGCTAAGATGCCACTAGGGATGCCAGCGTCACGTTTCAGAGTGCCGGAGTTTGATTTCTGGCTTCAGCTCCTGACTACAAATCCTGCCAATACAGCCCATGGGAAGCAGCGGGTGATGGCTCCAATGACTGGGTTTCTGGCACCTGTGTGGGAGACCGGGATTGCATTCCTGGCCCCCAGCTTCAGCCTAGCCCTGTCCCAGATACTACAAGCATTTGGGGGAATGAACTAGTAGATGGGAGCTCTGGCTGTTGTCTCTCAAATAAGTAAACATTTAAACAAACAAAAAAAGATATCCAGCACACATGTGTGCACTGTGCATGCATGAGTGTGTGCGCGTGCACACACACACACACACACACACGAGATACAGTTGGAATCAGGAGCATCACAGTCTCCACCACCCAGACAGGGCTTGATATGTGCTGATTCTTTTTTTCTGTGATTAGCTGACCCGGCTGACCTCGGGTGGCTGGGGTCAGGATGGGATAGGAGGACACAGGACAGGCACACTTGGTGGGTGGAAGCTGCCATGTGTTGAAGTGAAGGGGACGTGAGCCTTACGAGGGATAAGCAGCCGGAGGAGCTGCGTTTTGCAGTGGTCTGAGCATGTGGGCTGTTGGCTTGACGGGTGTAAGGCAGAGTCTACACCCTACTGGCCTGAGACAGCTCATCTAGCTGTGGGGGCCTCAGTTCCCTCCCCTGCAGAACAGCCATGATGATCTTACTCGTTTCAAACTCTTTGTGCACTGAAGCTGCATACTGATGTGCAGTTTTCCAGGGACTGTGCTTGGACAAACTTAGGGTGTTGTCTCATTTGGTTGGCCTTTGTCCTGCTTGCATCGGCACAGGCCATGGGCATGAATTCCTATCTCATCTCTCCCAGGAGCAGATTGTCCCACGTGAGGATGAAGGCAAAGGCCAGGATGGAGTGGGGGAGATGTTTTTGGTGTGTGACTGGTTGGGGAGGTAGAAAGTGGCCTTGAGAAGGGAGCTGGCTCCTGCTGAACTCCTTGGGTTAGAGCTTGGGCAGAAGCTCCCGAGCAGGGACTGGGGCTAGGGGAGAGGCCCACCGCCCCCTCACCTCTGGGCTCTCTCTTGCAGGTGTGGGCAAGAGCAGTTTACTGTTGCGTTTTGCAGACAACACTTTCTCAGGTGAGTCTTCCCCTGGGGTGCTGCTGGGATGTTTCGGGTCTGAAATCCCCTTCCCTCGCACCAGAGCACACTTGCCTTGTTGTGGGTGAATGAGAGAACTGGCTCATTCTGGCTGCCAGAAGAGGGGACAGTGGGGACGGCTGCTGAGGTCAGAAGCCTCTGTGGTCTGAATCCATCTTGTTCAGAAAGACCCTTGGCTGGCCATCATTTTCCCACTCAGGCCTTCTTGTGCCTAACATTTTAAAAAAACAAAATAGTATGTGCCTGTGTCGGGTTTCCACAAGGTGAGGAGTGAGAGTTGTCCCTGCAGCCGCCTGGCTGCTGTGCAGCTCTGTTCAGTGTGGCGTGTCCCCGTGCCACTTCTGAGCCTGCACGCTCGCCTGCCCCTCCGCGTACCGAGGAGCACTCTTCCCTGCTGTGTACGGCTCACTCTCCTCTGCGGTAGTTGTGAAGTTTTCTGTACTGTGCATGTTTTTTCTTTTAAAAGATTTATTTATTTGAAAGGCAGAGTGACAGAGAGAGGGAGAGATCTTCTATTTGCTGGTTTACTCCCCAAATGACTGCAACAGCTGGGGCTGGGCCGGGCTAAAGCAAGGGACTCCATCCAGGTTTCCCACGTGGGTGTAGAGGCCCAAACACTTGGTCTGTCCTCTGCTGCCTTCTCAGGTGCATTGCGGGGAGTATGATTAGAAGTGGAGCAGCCAGGACTTGAGCTCCAATATAGGATACAGGCATCAAAGGCAGTGGTTTAACTGGCTGTGCCTTGACCCGGCCCCTGTGCTGTGCATACACGGACCATAACTCATTGAGAGTGCTGTGGACTGTGCGTGGTTTCCAATTGCTTCTGTTTATTAACTGATGTGATATTACCTGAGATACAGTGCCAGCGTATTCCTGTGCACACCTCTGTAGAAGCAGGGTGACTTGGTCTCACAGTGTGCATATAGCATTGTCCCGGGCACTGCCAGCTTTCCTTGGCGAGCAGCTGCAGTAATTTAACGCACATTCTGCCAACAGGGCCGTGAGAGCCCCCTGTGACTCTGATCAATGCTAGGTTTCAGAGGTTGTCTTCCTTTTTGCTGAGCTGATGTGCAAGTCTTGTCTTATTTAAATTTGTCTTTCCCTGATCACTGCATGTCAGGTTGGTTTGGAGGCTTTGCTGGACTCTCTGATGCAGGACAGAGTAGGTGTCCTGGGCTGTGCTGGGGCGAGCTGCCCTTAGAAGTGATGACAGGGCTGTCTTGGTGGCTTTTGCCCCTTGCTTCCCACAGCCATGGCCCTGCACCACCGCTGGTGCTGGATGGAATTGGCCTCTGTGTGACCTTGAGCTGGGTTATTGTGAGGCTACTTGCCATAATGCCTGGGACGAAGTAATCTCTCCGTCAGTGTCAGCCGTGGCTGTCGTCATGTTTGAGACTGATAACAGATGAAGCTGAAAACCTTCTTGTTCTCCAAAATGTCCCTTTTTGTCCCAGCCAGTCAGCTTTCAATGCGTGGGGCTCCCTTGCTGTCTCTCTCCTCTCCACGTCTGCTCCCAGTATCTTAGTTCATTGTTGGCTCTGGGCAGAAGCATCAGGCAGCCCCTACCTGTCCTATACCTGAGACCTGGATGCATCTTTTCTTTGGAAAAGTTCATGGAAAAATTGTACTAAAACATAAGGTACGCTTCCCATGAACTTGAAGAAGCCCCTCGTTCACACTCTGGCGGGGGCTCCCTCTCACCTGAGCTGAGTGGACAGCGAGGCCTCTCACCCGGGACACTTTGGGTCCTGCCACTCTGTTGTGAGGCTGAGCAGCAGCCCTGCCCTCTGCCCACAAACCCCCAGTGATAACAACCGAGAGGGGGTTCAGGCTCTGCCCGGGATCCTCTGGGGACACAACCACCCCCAGTGAGAACCACTGGTGTTCATCACCTGGTTCCAGCTCCCCTTTCAGCTTCCTTCCTCAGGCTGCTGGTTTAGTTATTCTTTGCTTCGCTTGCCTGCTGCTCACTCATCTATTCTGAGTTCCCTCGTTGGTGTCACCCAGGTCCAGAGGAGCACCAGGAGCTGGCTTATCCTCTGGATGTGCCTTGGCCTCTGCCCTGCCTGTGCGGGGTCTGTCCCTCTGTTGCAAGTGTAGTAACAGCACCAAGGTGGTGTTGGTTCCAATAAGGGTTTTTATTATGCAGTAGGGGAATAACACACTCTAGTTCACACAGCACACAGCACACTGGGTAAACCGACCATCCCAGGTACCCAAAGTACGTCCGGTGCTCCTCGTGACATGTCTTAGCCACAGAGGGTGGACTTGTTCCAAGTCCTCACAGCTAGTGCCCCGAGCCGCAGGGAAAACACAAGTCTTGATGGGTGAAGTGAAGTCTCCGAGTTGGGCGAGCACAGGGCTGGCTGGGGGGCTCTCGCGGGAAGGCCTGAGTGTGGCTGGTCAGCCCAGGGGTCTGGGGAAGAGCTCTGGCTCTGCCGCTCTCAGGAGAGTCTGCTCCGAGAGTCTCATCAGGCTGCTTTGCTTGCTGCTTGTATATGCTTCACTGGCCTCATCGTGGTCTGATACACGGTCAGGTGCGGCCTGCTGTCCATGGGCGTGCCTTGTTGGGTGGTTGCAGTTCATCAGTTGGCTGGAGCAAGCCAAGTCTTGTTTGCTGCTTTTGGTCCATGAGGTGGAGCAGCCATGTTCCATCTGCACCATACACCCTCAGCTAAGCTCAGTCTTCGAATCCTTCCCTTTCTCTCAAGCTAGGCAGAAACGTGACTTCCTCTCTCAAGTCTGCCTTGCTCTCCGCCTCACCCTCATCTTTGACCTTCCCTGTGCACTTGCTGCCTGTCACTTTCATTTCCCGGGTGTCCTGTCTCCTGTACCGTGTTCCATTGTTCATTCACACAAAGTTGGAGCTGGTCACACCAGCCAGACACACCGTCCCCCTCCCCCCTTAAGCATTTGTTTATTTGAAAGGCAGAGTTACAGAGAGGCAGAGAGCGAGGTCTTCCATCCACTGGTTCGCTCCCCAGATGGCCGCAACGGCTGGAGCTGTGCCAATCTGACGTCAAGAGCTTTTTCCAGGTCTCCCACGCGGTTGCAGGGGCCTAAGGACTTAGGCCATTTTCTGTTGCTTTCTCAGGTCATAGCAGAGAGCTGGATCAGAAGTGGAACAGCCTAGATTCGAACTGGCACCCACATGGGATGCTAGCACTACAGGCGGCAGCTTTATATCCACTTTGCCCCAGGGCCGGCCCCTAGACACTAGTCCTCTTCTACCCAGATGGCCTGAGAGCTGTTGAAAACGCAGCTCATGCACCTGATTAAAACCCTTTAACACCTTCCCAGCCCACACAAGAGAAAGTCCGAGTTCTTGAAAATGTCCCAGAGGCCCGGAGATCTGGCCACGGCCCCTCTACCTGCCTCCCACTGTGCTTGACCTCACGTGAACCATCTCCTCCGCTGCTGTTTGTGCTCCTGTCTCCTCTGCCTGGAACAGTTTTTCAGACTGCAGGTCATGGCCTGTTGGTGTGTTAGGAAGTTAATGTAGTGGGTCAGTTACAATTTTGAACAGAATAGGAATGTCTCATGGGTCTGACCCCAGCTGGTCCCCTGTCATTTCCTTTGTAGCATTTGTTACTCTGTAACATAATGTTTGGTTTCATTGTATCCTGTGTGTTGCCTTTGCCCTCCCTTGTGGCTCTGTCGTAAGCTCCAACAGATTGTCTTCCTTGGTCAGGGCTGTGTCCCAGGGACCCAGTGGTTGTGGGGCAGCGTCTCAGAGCCTGAGGATCTGCCCCGTGGCATGGGGATCCGTGCTGGGCCCTACTGATGGACATGTGTGTGCAGGCAGCTACATCACCACGATTGGAGTGGACTTCAAGATTCGTACGGTGGAGATCAATGGAGAGAAAGTGAAGCTGCAGATCTGGGACACGGCAGGCCAGGAGCGCTTCCGCACCATCACATCCACGTAAGCCGGCTGCGCCTGCTCCCACCTGAGACCCCACCACGGCCGTGTGTACACCGCTGAGTGACTTGTGTGTGGTGGTGGTAGGGATGTCACGGGCTGGGTCCCAGGGCTGGCGGGAAGTGCTCGCTGCTAGCCCCAGTGGGTGGCGTTTGCCTGTGCCTTTCCTCTTCCTGAAGATGCGGGAGGAGGCGGGGACAAGCTGTTTCTGCTGCTGTGGGCGGGCAGTGGCCGAGCGCCCTGGTTCTGGAGTGGCTGGACAGACTGCACCCTGCCTCGGGCAGTCAGCTCACCCTCGGACTGGCGCTTCATTTACCATAAGATGGCGACAGTGAGCGTCTGCCACACCAGCTGCTTGTGCTGCACCCTGCCCAAGCACACACTTAGTCAGCGGCACTTACTCTTAGCAGGTGTCATGCTGACAGCTGGGGCGGGGCCTCGCAGGCAGGCTCCTGTCACTCGCCCTCCTTGCAGGTGGCTGTCTCTTGGGAGGCCAGGGAAGCTGGTGGGAGGCCCTCCCTCTACTTCCCCAAAGCTGTTGTGTGGGAAATCTGTCCTCCGCATGTGGACCGCTTTACTCCTGCAGCCCCTCCGTGGGTCCTAGCTGCACACAGGGGATGACCCGACTCTGGCTCTGGGCTGGAGTCTTGTGCAGGGCTCTTGGTTATTGTGCTGTCAATAGAATACATTTTGGGAAAGAGCAGGCTTTGAAGGCGGTTTGGAACTTAAAATTCTGGACCTTGGGCAAGTTGCCTAACCTCTCTGTGCTTGGTTTATCTTTAGGGTTTGCTTGGATGTCCCTGCCTGTCATGTGCTGTGCTAGGGGTCTTACGGGGCTTGTCCTGGTGACTTGGGTGAGAACCCAGTGTGCTCGGCGCTGTTATCCCCACCTCTGCTGAGGGCACTGCTGAGGGAGTGGTCTGTCCCGTGACGGCAGGGCCCGGGCTCCACACCATGGAGTGTGCAGAGCAGTGCTGGTGTCTGGCCTGACCCCAGAGCACGTCTCTGGGAGTGGATCTGGGAAGATGAGGAAGGTCTGCTTCCTCCCTCCAGCGTGGGCACAGGGAGGAACGTGAGGGGTGACCCCTGCAGTGGTGGCCGGGAGAGTGGGGCTGCTGGCAGAGGGAGTGGTCAGCCGTGGGCCGCACTAGCAGGAATCTGTGCATGCACGCCGTGGTCGGCTCTGGGCCCACTGTGTGTCTCAGCAGCTGCCAGTGAGGACTGAGGATGACCATGGGGCCAGGCTCCCCGGGATGGACTTGACATTGAGAGCTTCAGGGAGCCTGGGGCAGCTGGGCCAGAGCAGGGCAAGACCTCCTGTAGTGGGCTTGGGGTCTGCAGGTCTGGACACTGACCTCACTGTGTCCTTCCTCTGGGCTAAGGACCTCACCTGCTTGGTTTCATTTAATCCTGATTAGGAGTCCTGGGCTCCTCTGCATTCTGTGGACAAGAACACAGGTCCAGAGAGGGCAGAGGGCCAGAACCTGGTGGATTAGGCAGGACTGGAACTGAGGGCTGTGTGATGCCAAAGCACAGGCCTTGACCCAGAGCCCAGCCCTGCTCCCTGCTGCCCCCACACCCTGGCATCGGGGCATATGGCCTCTGTCAGTGCTTCCCAGCAGGGTGCAGACCAGATGGGGGACTCAGCGTGGCAGACACAGTTAGCCCTGTGGCCCTGAGGAATGCTTCGGGCTGGGCCGCGGACCCTGGGGTGCCTGAGCCCTTTCAGCAGCTGGAGCCACAGCCCCTCCTCTGCTGCCTGAAGTCAGCTGCCGGGTGGGACGGGCAGGGCAGAGGCTGGGCCAGCTCCCCATTCTACTGGGGAGACTTGGAGGAGTTACTCAGCTGCCTGAGGCAAAACGTATTTTTCCAGGGTGCCCCTGGCTGCTCGGCCTGCTGTCTATGGAAGCTGAGGGTTGGCTGTCTCCCAGGGTCCCTGGCTGTGGCCCCCATGAGGCAGGAGGGAGCTCGGTGCCCTGTGGTGGTGGCTGGTGAAGAGAGGCGCCCTGGGGAGGTCAGCGGTTTGCACGGCAGGTCAGTCGGGGTGCGGCAGACTCGGGGCATTCAAAAGAGAAAATGAAACTGCTGCTGTGAGCCTCACGGGCTGCCGTCCCCCTCCCAGCTCGCTCTCAGCAGCCGAGGTTTGCTGGCCGGGGTGGAGTCAGGAGGGAGGGAAGCCCCTGGCCCTGGAGTCCAGCTTGTCAGCACTTAGTAAGTAGTGGCTAGAGCGCTCGGCACGGTCCTAGCCCGGTTAGTAAGCGGTGGCTAGAGCGCTCAGCACGGTCCTAGCCCGGTTAGTAAGCGGAGGCTAGAGCGCTCGGCACGGTGCCCAGCCCAGAGCAGAGTTCAGCAAGTGATAGTGATTCCTGGTGGGGATGGGAATGGGGTCCTGCAGCGCCTCCGCCTTCCGAGCCACTGCTCCAAGCCCCTGACTGCGTCCCCAGGCTCATTCTTTGCTCCAGATACAGCAGAAGTGATGCCCACAGCCAGCTGTCAGCAAAGGAGCGGGTGAGGCACTTGCACTACTCCCGCTGCACCCCTCCCACCCCAGTCGTCTGCGCCCCACACCGGCGGCAGCCCTGCTGTCTTGGGGCTGGAGCCACAGCAAGACAGTTCCACTGTGCTGGCTCTCCCAAAGCCAAGGTGCACCGTAGCTCTGGAGCAAAGCTGTGGGCAGAACCCAGCACCTGGGGAGGGTGGAGATAGCCAGGGCAGGGTGGGGGTGGGGCTGACCCCCGGGCACAGCGAGGCTCTCTGCTTGCTGCAGCCTTTGGGGTTGCCTCCTTCTTACCTGTCTGGGAGTGCAGACTGAGGGAACCTTGGTGACGAGCACACCCACACTGCCTTGCAGGCACTTCGTCCCCCTTTTTCCTTCCAGCTGCCCCAAGGGTTAAGTGCAAGGTTCCCTGTTGTAGTGACGAGGGAACGGGGGCTGGTGAGGTGGACACAGGAATGCGGCCATGGTCCACAGCCTTTTGGGGATGGAACCAGGGCTGATCTTGGGCCTTGGTCGGGCCTTGGATGTGAAGCGTGTGCCAGAGAGCTGAAGGGCACGGATGAGAATGGAGCTGTACCCACTGCCTGGCAGTCCCACCCTCACTCAGTTCCCGTCTCGGCCTCTGCACTGGGCTCCGGGCAGGGACTGATCGCCTCAGAAGCTGGGAGGTGCTCAGGGCAGGCAGGTGGCCACCTGTGCCCTCCTGGTTTGCATCCGTGGTTCTGGCAGCTTTAGGGAACCGCTCTGAGGGACAGCACAGGGTAGTTACGTGGTGTTGGCGGCAGCAGTGCTTTCTGGTCTCTGGCTGTCGCAAAGGAACAGGTGGCCCTGGTCCTCTTCTTCATCCTGGGCCTGACGCCCTTCATCCGAGCTCCCGGGACGCAGGGGCTGAGGAGGAATGTGTGGCTCCTCCTCCTTCCGCACCCTGCTGGGCCGGGCTCTGTGCACTTGGAGGATGGCACAGCTGGAAGTGCCCGGCTGCCGCAGGTGCACACTTGGCCAGGACTTCTTGGAAAGGCATCTCTCTAAGTCAGCCTTGAGAAGGCAGTGGTTCCTGAGTGTCCAGAGAGGACAGGGAAGATCTGACATCAAATACAAAAATCGCCTGAATTCTAACAGCAACAGCTTCAGAGAGGTTTCACGCTAGCAGCAGGGGTCGGCCCCGGTCACAGGTGTGAGGAGCCCGTGGCTGCCCAGGCGCCAGCCACAGGGACCTGTTTGTAGACACACAGACCTGGTGAAGTGGCTGCTCATGCAGGCTGAAGCTGACACACTCTCGCCCTCCAGGTATTACCGGGGGACCCACGGGGTCATTGTGGTTTATGATGTCACCAGTGCCGAGTCCTTTGTGAACGTCAAGCGGTGGCTTCATGAAATCAACCAGAACTGTGACGATGTGTGCCGAATACTAGGTGAGGCCGGGCCCCATGAGTGGGGATGGTGAGATGGGTGGCCGGGGTGCTCCTGCAGGGCTGGGCTGACCACTTTTTGCCTTGAAGTGGGCAACAAGAATGACGACCCTGAGCGGAAGGTGGTGGAGACAGAAGATGCCTACAAATTTGCTGGGCAGATGGGGATCCAGTTGTTTGAGACCAGTGCCAAGGAGAACGTCAACGTGGAAGAGGTGAGTCTGGCTGAGGCCCTGGGCGGGGCCTGCATGCCTCCTGGTTGACCCAGCCTGTTCTGCCACACAACCCTCCCCTCCCCACTCCTGGCCTGCTCGGGGCATCTAAGTGAGCAACAGAGCGTCACGGTAAGCACCGCTCAGGGTGTGCCTACTGTGTGTCAGGTACTGGGCCAGGCCTTTTCAAGGTCTTAGTGTGTGTCTCAGTAGTCCCGAGGTGGGCTGGAATTACTCCCATGTCTCAGGTAGGGGTGGTGGGGCTCCAGGTGTGTCAATAATGGATGGAACAGCACCCACCTGTGAGGGGCTGAGTGAGACTGTTCCCATGCTAAAGCCACGCACAGCCCACTCCAGTCCCCATCTCCTGGGCCTCCTTGTCCCCGGGATTGCCACGCCTTCCTGTGTAGCATCCTCTGTGGCCTTGGTTTCCCTGCAGAGATGAGGTTGCTTTCCTGTGGCCCCCAGGCCCCCTCCAGCAGAGGCGGCTTCCCCTCCGCACCTCCAGGCCTGCTGGAAAGCCGCTGTGATCCTGTGGGAGCGAAGCCAGACCTTTGCCACAGGCTCAGCCTGCTGCCACTCACTGGTCTTAAGGGGAGCCCTGCCTCCTGGCGTGTGGTGTTGAGAGGCCCCAGAAGTTGGGATCCCCACTGCATGGGGGACACAGGCCACCCAAGCTCCTGAGACAGGCTAGGGTCAAAACCCAGGATGTAAGCTCTCCGAGCTGTGGACTGGGGGCAGTGGGAGCCCTTTCTTGCAGGTTGTGGTGAGTGGTAGCAAGTGCTTTGCACACAGCGCACGGCTCAGCTTTTTCGTACCTGCTGCTCTGGCTGAATGCAGGGATGTGGGTTGTAGGTAGTTCTCCTGGGTCCTGGCATTGGAAGGTATCAGGTGGTTTGGGAAAGGCCAGACCTCTGGGCCTCAGATGCCATGGGGTGGCAGGCTGAGCCCACCCTGGCTCTGTCTCCCCCAAAGACCTTTGCCTTGTTGGAAGATTCCAGCGGAAGGGGTTCTCTTAAAAGAAAGGCAGGAAAATCCCCAAGGTTGACTTCCCCAAGTCTGCACAGTTCCTGGTGCTTTGATGTTGTTCCTTTTTCGCTTTAAAATAACTCGCCACCCCCTTCTAGAAAGGGCACTGAGGACACACAGGTGCTCCCTGCCTTAGGTGGGGTGATGTCCCAGGACCGCAGTCAGCACTGCACTGAATGCCTAAGTGAACACGCTAGGTGTGCGGAGCAGCACGGCTCACTGCAAAGTGCATTTTGCCCTCGTGAAGGTGGAACTGCCCAGGGCCCATGTGGCCAGCCCTGGAAGAGACAAAACCCAGAATTCCAAGTATGGCTTCTACGGAGTGCATATTGCCTTTGCACTACTATCAGGCCGAAAAATTCTAAGTGGAACCGTCATTAAGACGGGGACCACTGGTACGTGTACAAAAATTCACAAGTACAGACAGAGCCGGGCCCGGGAGGCAGGGAGGCGTCCTCGCCAGGCCTGAGGCCCTGCCTCTGTCTCCCGCACAGATGTTCAACTGCATCACAGAGCTGGTCCTCCGAGCCAAGAAAGACAACCTGGCCAAACAGCAGCAGCAGCAGCAGAACGACGTGGTGAAGCTCACGAAGAACAGTAAACGAAAGAAACGCTGCTGCTAATGCCCGCCTGCAGAGACTGCACTGCGGCCCCAGCCCGAGGCCCGAGGGGCTCCTCGGCGGACGGTCTCAGTTCCGTGCCGTTATTTAAAGAATTCTCTCCACGTTTTTGTACCGGGAGGCGCCATCGGCACTTCCTCCCCTCCCTGAGTGCCAAGAAGGCGTTGGACGAGCCCGCCCTTCCCTCCTGGTGCCCTCCTCCCCAGCCAAGGCGCCTGGACCTGGCGAGGACGCTGCCAGCCGAGCGGACCGAGTAACCCGTTGTACATAGTGTAAATTGCGTTAACCAGCTGCACACCCTCGTCCTGCTCTGGCTTCTGCCTCCTAAATGCCAGCCTGCTGCGACAGACCCTCCTGCTGCCCTCCCGTCCACCCTACCGCCAGCAGCTTCCTGAGGGGACAGCATCACGTTCTGGCCACGTCTTTGGCCAACCTGGGTCAGTGGAGTGGGCTCCACGTTGCTTATTCTCTCCTACAGGTGTCAGCTTCTGTCCCCGGCCTCCAGGCTTTCCCCGTTCTCTGCGGCCTGTGCCAACCCATCCTGACCCCAGACCTGCTCTGGGAGCTGGGGCAGCCTGACCTGGACGGAGGCCCTGCCGTCTGCTTTCACAGAGGAAGTCAGTCCTGCTGTTGGCCAACAGGTTTCTTGTCCTGCCTCCTAGACCCTTCTGAGCTACAGACCCAGGGGAGCCCAGCTTCTCAGCGATACCAGCATGTCTCCGTCCCAGCAGGAAGGCAGGGCTGCGTGTGCAGATGGGGCGCACAGTGGGCATTAGACTACTTTAACAGGTAAAGAAAATGAAGCCAAATCAAGTGAATTAAATTGCTCACAATTATTTTCTGTCCCTGAAATTTGGCACAGCAGCAAAGGTTGTGGCCACTGCATTTTTGGCCCAGGGTTTTTAGACAAAGTAAATGGCTTCCTGTCACCGTGGGGCTCTTGGCTGTTTCTTGGGAAAGAGAGGGCTGCCACTGGTGTCAGGAGACTGTGACATGGGGCCGTGGTGTCAGGGCTGCCGGACAGCAGGGGGATGACACGACCACCGACAAGAGCAGTCCGACCACAAAGGTGGTGGGAGGCCATCTCCACTGGTGGGGAGGAGTGGCACAGGGCAGTGCCCTGGAGGAAAAACCATTGTGACCTGCCCCCGACTACTGCCCCTCTGTCCCTCCCCTCTCCCCTAAAGGGATCACGTACGCTGGGAAGAATTGATTTCAGCACCATGATGTGTTTTATTAGATTTCCTTTCCTAGGCAATTTTCAGGCAAAGCCCTCACTGGACAATCACATTGCAGATCACGCTGCAGATTCTCCATGTTAACACTGTGGATGGGTTTGTAATCAATAAAAACTGGGGGTTTCTTCTCACCTGTTTCTCCACTTGTCCATACTGCCAAAAACGGGGGTTCTGTGCTGCAGGCTGGGGTTGGTGAGCCGGGCCTGGGAAGGTGGGTGCGGGGTGCTGCGTCTGGCTCAGGGGAGCTGGGATCAGAAGTGGGGGTCCTGTGCTCAGGACTGTCCTAGCTGGCTGTTGGCCTGTGGTGGCCTCTGAGCAGAGTCAAGCAGCAACAGGCGGTCGTGGGAGCCTCCAGCCCTGGCTCGACACCCATGTAGCTTGTGGGAACTGGACGCCCAGACCCAGGTGGCAGGGGTGAGCGTGGGATGACAGTGTGCCTGTCACACGGAGGGTTACACGCATGAACGGGATGGGGGGGGTGGGGGACTCGGGGCTGGACCGACGTCCTGGTGGACCGGCTATGAAATTCATGTCAAACAATACAACTTTTAAATGGTTTGCTAGGATTATTTCTGTATTGAAAGTTTCTAATTATGCTTTTTAAAAAAAATACTAAAAATAAAGGTTCAAGCTGCCAAATTTTCTTGCAGGGTCTGTTTGCTCTCCCTCCACTTGTGCCCTGGGCGGGCCTGGCTCCTTCCCGCCCATTGTGTCCAGCTCTTGTTCTGGGCCTGAGTTTGGCGCAGGTGCCTCTGGAGGCCCTGGACCACGTGCAGAAGCCAAGTCCGTTTTCTCCGTGAACACGTGGTCGAGGCTGTGTCCCCTCATTCTGACGCACTGGCACTGGCTGGAGCACACGCGGGCAGGTGCCAGGGGAAGGCCTGTGCTGATTCTCCACAGGCCGGAGGGTGCGGCAGAAGCCTTCGCCTCGAGTAATGCTTCCGGCTGGAAGTTTCTGCCACGCTCTAGGGCCCTGCTCTGGCCTGGGAAGTGGTGCTGGGCGGGAGGGCTGCCTCAGTGCAGTGCAGCTCTGGCCAGGAGCCCAGGGCCAGGCTGGACACGGAGGCCGAGCCAGATGAGAGGGTGCAGTGACCCACCCTGGCAGACTCCATGAGGGGGTGGCCTCCAAGGGGCAGGGACCGTGACTGCCGCCTCCATAGCAGCCGGGGGGGGGCTCTGACAGCTGCTGGAGCCCAGACAACCCTTCCCACATCCAGTGACTGAGGCAGGAAGCTCTGTAGAAATTCTTTTTATTCTTATTCAGACTATTTTCAAAAGAAGCAGTGGTGCGCTGTTTATCTAAAAATATGCCTTTATAGATTTATATATGTATATTATAAAATCCATACATGTATTTACACGGTTGCTACATACAAAATCCCAGCACTGTGGTATGTACATATCTATAGGTACATTCTTTCCGCTCTTCCCTGCTGTGCTTTCCCCGGGAGGGAGGGAGACCGACTCAGTGGTGAGCAGCTGGGCCCGTGCAGAGAAGGTGGAGTGGCTGCCGCGCGAGGAGCAGAAGCAGCAGGGTACAGGCCTGGTCCCTCCAGGCCTGGTGGGCAGTGTCAGGAGGTACCCAGCAGTGGTGCCAACGCTGCCCTCGAGGTGTGGGGCGGCGGACCACAGATCCCTCTGGGACCATCCTGTGGCCTGGGCTTGCTCGGCTGCGCCAGGAAGTGGCGTGAAGGGGTAGGAGGCTACAGTGGGGAGGCCAAGACCCTCCTGGCCCTGGCCCAACAAGGACCTGTGGCACACACTGCTGGCCCGGCCCTGCACCGGGGTGAGGCTGCACTGCAGGCAGCTGGGGAGGGGAGCCAGTGGCCAGGGCCCTTCTCCCCGCGGCTCGGGAAGGCCTCAGCGGAGCCCAGGTATCCCCAGCTCTTAGGCTCTGAGGCCTCAGGCGTGGCCTCCTGCCTGCAGAGGTGCATGCACGTGGGTGAGGGGCCGCCTCCCCCACTGGACTCCCTGGGTCAGGGCCTGGGCAGGAATGGAGGCTGAGGCCTTCGAGGTGCAGACCTCCTGAGGCATGCCGGGAAGGGCATCCCTCTGTTCTGCTCCCTGCCACCTAAGACAGGTGGCAGCGGTGCCTGCGGCGTGGGCCGCGATTCACCGGTCCGAGCAGCACAGCCCTGTCTAAGGAGCTGCTTTGGGAGGTGGTCTGAGCCCTACTCAGTAACAGGATCTGGGGGAGCCCAGGCTTGGGCTTGGCCGGGAGGTGAGGACAGGGCTCCTGCCCGTCCGTGGGTCGAGAGCAGCCTTCCGAGGCCATGGCAGGGCCCCTGCTCTTGGTCTCCATCCTCGACCAAAGAGTGCAGGCTCTCCCGGACTGATCAGACCGCAGCACAGATGAGCTGAGCCCCAGGACACAGAGGAGGCCCTTGGCTGTGCCGCCTGCTCAGCCACGTCCAGTCTGTCCATCCTCAGGGGCCCAGCTCTTCTCAACTTAGATTTTCCTGAAGAATGAGAAGAGCCGTTTGCCTTCCATGGAGCCGGGGTCGTCCCCCCGACCTGTGCTGTGGCCCCTGCAGAAGGCGTCAGCAGGCCGGCCCCGTTCCTTCAGGTGCGTGTCCATCAGCTGCCGGTCAATGACCCTGTGCATGTCATCCTGCAGAGAGGGGAGAGCGCGGGGCTGAGCAGAGCCCTGACGTGGCCTTGGGACAGGCAGGGAGGTGGCGGATCTCAAGGACATGAGATGAGGATGAGGAGTGATGAGTGAGTGGCCACGATGAGGCTTGCCTGGCCGACAGAGCAGGGCATGTGGGCGCGACACCAGGACACACACAGTCCACACGACACCTCGTCTCCTCAGGGCTTGGGCTGGCTTCTCCTTGCCAATGCCATCTCCCACCTGCCCCCACGTCCTCTCGGCTGCCTGCTCAGATAGGGGTCTCCCGAAGCCCAGGTAATGGTACAGTCCCCACCCTGGCACTCGGCCTCCTGGGACCAGCCCTCTGTGCCTGCCTCCGTGTCCTCTGGGGCCATCTGTGGCCCTGCCTGGGTTGCCACCACCACAGGTGCCCAAGTGACCTTCGCTCCCCAGCCCAGCGGCCTGGCCTCAGGGGCTCCTCCTGTGACCTCCAGCCCTTCCCACTAGTCTAGCTGGACCGCAGAGGCCCTGTGGCAAGGAGACAGGCTCCCTGGTGCTGCCCTCCCCACCTGTGGCGCGGCTCCCCTGCAGCAGGGCCAGCATCAGCGTCGTCGGGTGGTCTGGCACCAAGGCAGGGCCCACCTCCTTTAGCTTCCTCACTGGCTGGGGGCTTTCCCCTCCAATGTGCTTGAGGTGCCTAGGAACGCCCCCACCCCGAACAGCAGCTTCCAGGCCAGGGGGCTTGGACATGGCAGCTCTGGCCCGGCTGGGGGCCTCTGGTTCTGAGACTCCACGTGGGAACCTCTGCCCGAGACAGGAGCAGCTGCTCAGTCCCTTCGCCCTGGAACCCTCTGGGCTAACCCTGGACTGAGGCAGCGTGTCCGCCACACCCCCAGTCTGACCCAGGCTCTCACCCACGGGTGTCACCCATGTCTGCAGGTTTCAGTGTTGAGACCCGAGGCGGCGGAGCCCTTTCTTGCCGCTGCCCCATCCCCTCCTCAGCCTCCTGTATCCTCAGCACTTCCTCCTTCCCTGCATCCCACACAGCTCTCAGACCCGACACTGCAGCCTCTGCCGGTGTGCGGCCCCGACTTTGGGACTTCGCACTCTCGGGACACGCGCAGTCAAAGGCAACGCTGAACTACCACAGCAGAGGGGCCGGCGCTGTGGCGAGGGGGCAGCACTGGCATCCCACGCGGGCACTAGCTCATGTCCTGGCCGCTCCACTTTCAACCCAGCTCCCTACTGCGCCTGGGAAGCAGCAGAAGGGGGTCCAGGTCCTTAGACCCCTGCTCCCATGTCGGGGACCCAGAAGAAGCTCCTGGCTTCTGCCTGGCCCAGCCCCAGCTGTCGAGGCTATCTGGGGAGTGAACCAGCGGATGGAAGACTATCTGTCCCTCTCTCTAACTCCTTCAAATAAATATATAAATAAAAAAGTAAGTGTTAATAAAGGTTTTTCAGAAAAGTCTTTTCAAAGCTGTGAATGCTTTTTCCTAGCACCTTGCACAAAACTGCATTTTTACACTGAGCAATCAGTCTGTCAAGGGACTCTCGTGAAATGCATCGCCTGACGCACGCACGTGCTGCTCCTGACTCCCCCCATGCCTGCCACTGCCCCTGGGGTCAAAGCATCCACTTGCAAGAAGGAGACGCTGAGAAACCAGTCAGCCTGTCAGAGACGGGGCAGCGCCGGGCCACGCGCTGTGGCGAAGCTCACCGGACATGAGAGTGACGGCAGGTGTGCCAGGGCTTGATGGCAGAGGACACTGCACAGAGATGACGCCGGGCTCCGGCACACAGAACACGGCGGGCCACAGAGGGAGGCGGTGGGGGCAGAACAGCAATGGCAGCGGGGTGGGGGGACGTAGGACTCCGTCTCACCTCGAAGGCAGGAGGGGTGTACAACTAAAGCTGTTGATACGGGAACTGAGAAAGGCCACTAGATCAGAAACCAAAGGAGCCAGATAGTAAAAAGCCCTGAGGAAGCAAACTGCAGCCGGGAGAGAAGAGAGAGAAGGGCGGTCAGCGGGTAGGGCCGGCCGCGGGGGCAGGAGCCGGGGAGCCGGGCTGGGGGGGCCCTGCTCAGCGCACCTCCCGCAGCCGCGGGCGGCCTTTCCTGTTGGTTAGCGCTTCTCAGGGGAGAGTCGTGAGGATGCTCCATTCTAAAACCGTACCACCTCAACCCCAACACACAGGCGGCCACGGCAGCGCCTCTCGCCAGGGCCAGGGCAGGGCCCGCCGCGTGCTCTCAGCAGCAAGGACGCTGGCCCCTGAGCTGCACCAAGCTGTGGACTTTCATCCATCCCGCAGGTTTCCCGCCCTCCACCCTACCGGCTGCTTCTCTGATTTCAGTCCAGCCCAGAGGAAGGCCGCTGCAGGGGCCCTGAGGCCACGCTTCCGCCGGTCACAAACCCTCCAGCGGCGCCCAACTCTCCCAGACTCGCCCCACGCCCGCTGTACCTGCCAGGCCTCCAGCTGCTGAGAGAGGCTCAGCTTCTGCTGGATGGCGTCCAGCAGCTGGCTGTTCAGAGACATCATGTCCATCTTGCACTTGGCGAGTTCCAGCTCCACGGCGTTCTTCCTGCGCACAGACACACCAGAGCGAGCCTGGACTCCCTGTGCCAGAGGCACTCGGGGCCTCCGGAGTCCACAGGAGGAAGCAGGCTCTGACCTCAGACGGACGTAACTGAGCCAAGGCTCATCCCGGCTATTCTTCAACAAGCTAACCCACTCTGGTGAAGCCGCCATGCGCCATCTCCGACTCACCACTCAAGAGACAGCTTCTAAAGGCTTACAAGCGCAGGCCGCCTGAACGGGGGCCGGGACCCACAGGAGATGCAGGCCGCTCACAAAGCCTCCACGCCCCGGCCCCCTGGGACGGGGAGGAACTCGCCTGAGCAGCACAGGAACCTTCCTGGGGTGCTGCCGTGTGCACAGGCAGCCTGCGGCGGTGTGGTCACGGGCTGGCGGGGCCCAGTCCCCGGGAGCTGGCAGCTGGCAAGCAGGTGATGAAGCCACCGTGGGGAATATTCACTGAATGCACGATGCGCTCAGCGGGGGAAAGAACCAGAACACAGGTCCAGGATGAGGCTAGTTCTCCAAAGTAAAGACTGCCTCTGACCTAAGGGCAAGGCCGCTGGTCGGATGTCCACATTCCTAGTGGCTGGGGCTGGGTCCCGGTTCCACTCCCGACTCCTGATTCCTGCTGATGCACCCCTGGGAGGGAGCAGGTGACAGCTCCAGTCCCTGCCACCCATGGGAGTAGACTGAGTTCCTGGCTCCTGGCTTTGGCATGGCCCAGCCCCTGCAGCTGTGGGCATTTGGGGAAGGAGCCAGCAGATGAGAGCTCTGTCATTTTGTCTCTGCCTCTCAAAATACATAAATAAATTACAAAAATTAAAATACAGAAAAGAAAAACCTTTGTGTGTTGAAAGGCACACAAAACTCTAGCTGATTATCTCTGGGTGACCGTTGATGAGCAATTCCCACCCACACTTGTGCATTTTGCATTTGCATGCTTAGCATGTTTCGGTGTTACTATCATCCTCGACATTCCTAAATTATAGCTATTAGATGCCAAAGAAGGGGCTGACGTTGTGGTGTAGCAGGTTAAGCCACTGCCTTTGAGGCTGACACCCCATACTGGCGTGGGTTTGAGACCTGGCGGCTCTACTTCCAATCCTGCTTCCTGCTAATGTGCCTGGGAAAAGCAGTGGATGATGGTCCAGGTTCTTGGGCCCCTGCACTCCATGGGATATCTGAAACTCCTACAGAACCTTAAAAAAAAAAAAGCCGCAGTGGAGGGCGTGGCCAGCAGCCCCTGCAGAGGCGGCTCTTGTGGCCCAGCTGCCCTTGCCGGCATCCAAGTGTCCTCACCAAGCAGGGCCAGAGGTCACAGCACCGCCCAAGGGCAGCAGACGGGCTCTGCCTGGGGACACCGCCTGCACTAACCTAGGCGCGGTGAGAAGCAGGAGGGTCCCATTCACAAAAGCGCTCGCGCCAACCCCACGTCCAGCACCGAGCACTTTCGGCCCCTGCTCTGACTCCAGGCCAGGCCCCAGAACTGCGCCCAGCTCACCCTCCCTAGAGAGGCAGCTCCAGACAGCTCGGCCCGCGCGTCGGCCCCACCCACTGCAGCTGCTCGGATAGGACCCGAGCGTGTCCAATGGGCGCTGGTGGCTCAGCTGCTGCAGGCTGACTTTGCCACAAGCGCTGCCATTGGCCCACGGCAAACAGCGGAAGTCCTCGCGTGGCTCCAGTTGCCATAGACGCCTGGCCCGGGCGCCCCCAAGCGGCGCAGTCTCCTGTTTCCAGGTATCTGCCAGCAGGTGGCTCCACGAGCAGCCAGGAGTCCGGGGAAGGTGCTGACTAACGCCGTGGGGGCGGGGACAGTCCCCAGGGGCAGGGCAGGAGCAACCCCAGACCCAGCAAGCAGAGCTGCGGAAGTCACTGACGATGTATTAATCACATTTAAAAAAAGGAATATACCCAAGGGCTAGAAGAACTCCTTAAAGGAAACCACCAGCGACTGCTTTTTGTTTCTCTAAGGCAGACTGTACTCCCAGATTTATTTTCTGCGCTCTGTGAGGGTCTTTCCCCGACGAGGAGAGTAAACCATCACTTAAGGGGCAGACATCCGAGTGGTCAAGCACAGGTCTGTATCCCAAATCGCAGTGCCTGGCCCCGGGGCCACCCCATTTCCGGTCAGGCCTCCAGCTAACGTGGGCTCTGCAGGGGCAGGGACGGCCCAGGTTCTGGGGCTCCTGCCACCCACGTGGGAGAAAAGGCTTCCAGGCTCCTGGTTCGGCCTGGCCCAGCCCTGGCCATTGTGGCACGCTCTGTCTCTCCCGCTGTCCTTCAAGGAAAACAAGTGTTTCCAGGGGAAGAGGATCCTCCCTCCAGAGCCTCCCGTCAGACAGCAGGGTCGCACTTAGGTTGGGCAGCCTCCTCTCCCGCCAGGGGCAGAGCTGCGGACCCCATTTCTGAAGGCAGTGGGACTGCACCGGCGACTTGTGTGTTCTCTCCCGCACAGGCAACCTTAACCACTAGGCTAACCACCCTCCTCTCAACATTCTATGATGATTCCCAACAATTACAGACACGTGAGAGACAACTGTGAACATCTGAACTCAGACTGGACACCAAGTGGTATCAAGAAAATACTGTTTCTTTTCAAATGGGATCACTGACTTACAGCTGTGTTTTTCCAATGTCTTTTTCTGGGAGAGATAGATTCTGAAGTGTGTATGGATGTCTTGTGATTTGTTACAACATAATCCAGTAGAGAGGTGGAGGAGGCAGATGAAATACACTGGCTGTATGTTATTTAGTGTTGGAACTGAGAGATGGATAGACAGAAACATCACACGGACCCCTCTTTTGTACATACTTGCAAATGCCCACAACTAAAAAAAAAGTAAACATTAAAAAAGACAGGCTTGTTATAATTAATTGGAAAACTCTCTAGGAGATGGTGGACAAAAAAGCAAGACATGCAGAGTTGTCTTGCTGATGTCTGAAAACCCTACAACTGTGTGAAGACACACCCAACCCACAAGTATGTTACACACACGTATGAAGACACACCCAACCCACAAGTATGTCACACACACGTATGAAGACACACCCAACCCACAAGTGTTACACACACCCATGTATGAAGACACACCCAACCCACAAGTGTTACACACACCCATGTATGAAGACACACCCAACCCACAAGTGTGTTACACACACCCACACATGAAGACACACCCACCTTTCAACAGAAGTGTCTATCTGGGGAGGATAGAGATTGGGATTGGGGGTGAAGAGTTCTTCTGTATGATTTAATTTTTAAGAATAACTTCTTAAAGACCTTTCTCTCTGTCTAATTCTGCCTGTCAAAAAAAAAAAAAAAAAAAAAAAAAGAATAACTTCTTAAAACAAAACGAAATGGGCCGTCCCCACTCACTTTGCAATGGCCTCGTCCCGGTCCCTGATGGCCTTCTGAAGCTGCTCCTTTGGCTCCTTGTCCTCAGATGTCACTCTGAGTTGGTCTCTCTCCTCTTTCAGCGCAGTCATCTCCACACTCAGCAGTGTCACCTGACAGGAGACCAAGAACGAATGTAATGCCATCACTGCTGCTGGCCTGGGGTGGTTCACCTCCAGGAGGGAAGGAACAAAGGATCCCAGGGCAGGCAGAGGGTTTTTTTTTTTTTTTTTAAGATTTATTTACTTCAAAGTCACAGTTACACCCAGAGAGAAGAAGGGGCAGGCAGGCAGGCAGGCAGAGAGGTCTTCCATTTGTTGGTTCACTCCCCAATTGGCCACAACAGCCAGAGCTGCACCGATCTGAAGCCAGGAGCCAGGAGCTTCCTCCAGGTCTCCCATGCAAGTGCAGGGGCCCAAGGACTTGGGCCATCCTCTACTGCTTTCCCAGGCCATAGCAGAGAGCTGGACTGGAAGTAGAGCAGCTGGGACTTGAACTGGCGCCCATATGGGATGCCGGCACTTCAGGCGTCAGCCTTCCTTGCTTTGCCACAGCACCAGCCCCAAGGCAGAGGTGGTTGTGTGGGGTGCGGGCTGGCTGCAGCCCACTGCTGTCCTGCTCCCAGGGAAGGCCCACTGCCTGAAGACAAGATGCCATGTGCTAGGCCCAAAGCCAGTGCCAAGGGGGCCAGGGAAGTTCTCTCTGGCCCTGCAGGCCTGGGCCCAGATCCCCTTGTACTCAGCACTGCATACCACCTCCTCCATCCTAAGGCACTCCTAGATGGTGGATGAAAGAAGAGGAGTTCATCAGAAGTCTGAACCACATTTTTACTCAAGTTTTGTTTCCAGCCATCTTCTACTCAGCATGGAATGCTGCCATCCACAGGGCCCTGGGTGGACCTTGGCAGCACTTGGCATGGTCTGGCTCGCTCTCATCCTTCCTCACTGAGTTTCTAAGGTCAAAGCTACATGGAAGTTAGACATCTTAATGATGCTATCACCTTTTACTTCTAATCTGTTAACCTCTTCTGTGGCCCATGGCTCTGTCAGTGGTACCACAACTTATTCAGACCTCATGACCAACACAGAGGCAGCCCCTGGTGGTGAGGTGTCCCACCTAGCAGCTCCATCAGCGACCACGACAGCCACTCCACACTACAGTAACTGCGTGAGCTCCACAATCTGTGGTGGCAGGAGGCATGTCCCACCTTTCTGTGCATCCCACTGCAGAACACCTGTGCAATGGGCCACTGCCACTCCTGGGGACATCCTGGGTTTCGTGAGTCTTGCTGGAAGATAGGGCATGACTCCTTGCTGAGGAAGCCCAAGGGGGACAGACCTCTCCCTTTCACCGGCAGACTGGGCATTCGAACTAGATTTGCCAGGCAGCCCAGCCCCCACCGGGACTGCAGCTTGTGAGGGAGTCCAGTAAAACTGCGGGCAGGGGGCTTAGTCACCAGGGCAGAAGATGGCTTGTCCCTTTCCCACGTCTCTTTCCTGTTTTGGAGCTGAGTTCTCCCGCCTCCCTGTTGATTCTCTAAGCTGTCAGATGTAATTCAGTACATTCTCTTTCTGCTCAAGTTAAGCAGAGCAAATTCCTGTTGTTTGCAACCAGAAACCCTGCCTCATAGAGCTTTCAATAAATATTTGTTGAATAATGGAAGGGAGGGAGTCCCTGCTCAGTCGGCAGGATCAGGTGTGAGTCAGCATGCCTGACCCCACCCTCCTGTTAAGCACTGCAGACATCTGGACATTCTCCCAAGGTAGGATCGCTCCATAAAGGTCTGCCTCCCTCCCACAGATGTCACCTCTCAGCACACTCCTCAACAGCTTTTTCTTTTTAAAGTTATTTATTTGAAAAGTAGACCACAGGGGTGGGTGGAGTTGGGGAGGAGAGACTGGCTGCAATAGCCAGGGCAGGGCCAGGCTGAAGGCGTCAGAAACCCCATCCTGGTCTCCCACACGGGTGGCAGCAGGCCCAAGCACCTGAGCCATCACCTGCTGCCTTTCCAGGTGCACCAGCAAGAAGCTGGGCTGGAAGCGGAGCAGCTGGGACTTGAACCTACACTCCAACATAGGATGCTGGGGTTACAGGTATTGGCTTAACTTGCTGTGCCACCACGTCGGCCCCTTCCTGGACTTTACGTCGTAGGTCTAATCATCTTCAGGCAGAATTAGAGTCAGGGCTCTAGGACTAAGGCTGAAGATCAAGCTCCCTAGATGAAGAGAGCAGGGCCGCCAGCCCTCAGGGTAGCCACCACTCAGATGGGAGTTCACAGGGACAGAACAGTTTGTTGCCATCATGGCTGACAGATTCCATACTCTTAGGGGTCTGGTAAGGGCCACCAGGCCCTGATATTCTGAACTGAAAACAGCCCCAGGCAGCATCTCTCCTGCTGGCCAAAGCAGAGTGAGCAGGCTGGAACCCTCAGAGGCTACAGAACGCATATGTACCTAGCCTGAGGCAGTCAAGTGCTGGTGAGAGCCCAGCCACCATCCGTATCAGCAGGCCCAGCAGCCTAGCAGGCTGGAACCCAAGACCCAGAAACCACCTGGCAGAGTGCCAGACCTCCAGAGACCACATGAACCCTGACATGGCCGTGGGTCAGCAAGATGCTCTGCCAGCTGTGCAAGGATGGGTAAAACTACATGCAAGGCAGGAAAAGCCAACATTTAATATGGTTCAGATAAATCTCTGAAACTATTTCCCTGGGCATGGAAAAGTTGGTCAAGATAAAGTCCACCAGCCATCTGCCTTAGAAGTGGCATTGTGGCATAGTGGGTTAAGCTGCTGCCTGCAGTATCGACATCCCATTTGGGCACTGGTTCAAGTCCTGGCTGCTCCACTTCCAATCTAGCTCCTTGTTAATGCGCCTAGGAAGGCAGTGGAAGAGGACCCAAGTGCTTGGGCCCCTGCACCCATAAGAGAGACCCAGATGAAGCTCCTGGCTTGTGGCTTTGGCCTGGCCCAGCCCTGGCTGTTGTGGCCATCTGGGGAGTGAATCAGCAGATCTCGATCTCTCTCTCTCTCTCTCTCTCTCTCTCTCTCTCTCTCTCTCTCTCTCTCTCCAACTCTGTGTTTCAAATAAGTAAATCTTTTTTTAAAGAGTGACAGGGGCCTACCCTCTTTTAGCCATACATTTCATAAAAAGCAGAAATAAAAATAACTGCTCCGGGGGCTGGTGCTGTGGCGCAGTGGGTTAACACCCTGGCCTGAAGCACTGGCATCCCATATGGGCGCCGGTTCAAGACCTGGCTGCTCCACTTCCCATCCAGCTCTCTATTATGGCCTGGGAAAACAGTGGGATGGCCCAAGTCCTTGGGCCCCTGCACCCAGTGGGAGACCCGGAAGAAGCTCCTGGCTCCTGGCTTCGGATCAGCGCAGCTCCAGCCATTGCGGCCAATTGGGGAGTGAACCATCGGATGGAGGACCTCTCTCTCTCTCTCTCTCCTCTCTCTGTGTAACTCTGACTTTCAAATAAATAAATTTTTTTAAAATAATAACTGCTCCGTACCAAAAATTTTTGAAAAAAGATTAAGAGATAAATTCCATCAAGGGCTCCAGTGCAGTCAGTGGCCAGCATATGGTTGTGAGCTGTGCTCCCTACCAGGAGTCAGAGGCTCAGCCCCGCAGCCAGAGAAGGCCCAAGAAATCATTTGGTCTGCTACTGCCAAGGCAATTGCAGGCAGGACTCTGAATTCAGTAAATCCATAGCAGGCTAATTTTTCTGTTGAAATTTTGCATGGCCTGCAAATGTTACAAATATCCAAATGGCACCTTCCCCCTTCTCCCTGGAGGCAGGACCTGGCCTTAGGTTACACCCGCCTCTAAACCCACTTTCCCAAGTAAGGTGCGAGTTCTCAGGATCAAACAGCATCGAAGAAGCAACACGAAGTCCTGTTTCTAGCGCTTCACCTGCTCTTCTGTTGTACATCTCCTGATTCCCTCCAGATGAGGGCTGACTCTGGACTAGGAGCTTCTGGCTGGCCATTTGGCCCCACCCACCCTCCTGGACCCCCCTCCTAAAAGGGTCTAGAGACAGTTCTGAATTGCCCTCACTGCCCTTGAGATCCAGGAATGCACAGGGTCCCTGACCACTGATCTCAGGTTCTCAGAGCTGAGTGTTACGGCAGGTACAGGGCAGGTGCTCAGATGCAGCGTGATCCTTGTGTGAGGCACACACGACCGTGCCTGCGGTGTTGGCTCCAGTATCTGCCGTCCCCCTGGAACTCAGTCTGCGCCATCCCAGCGCCAACTCCCAACTCTAACAGACAGCTGGTGTGTGCAGTGCGGTTGAGAGCTTTCTGCTTTGTGTACCTGGGACAGGAAGCCTACAGGAGAGCCTGACCCACACTCCATGTGGGATGTTGAGTGCAGCCATCTGCTGGGTGAACTACTTGAAAGGGAAGTTACGGAAACTGGCCTAAACCTGTCGTCAGCGGAAGTTCTGAGGAAACCTCCCTGGTGGAGACAGTTTCCTAGATAGTTCCGAGCCAGGTTCCCAGCAGCCTACACTCTGC